TGATGCTGCCTGGGCCAGGGATCAAGCTTTGAGAATCACCGCCCTAGGATACACTAAGGAAAGATTATCATGAAAACTTCTACCAAAAGGTAAAAGAGATTTAGTTCATTTTAGCTGTTTTTTTTTTTTTTTAAGTATTGTGAAACAATTTTGAAAGTAAAAGAAAAAGATATGTGGAACAAACATCAGCATCGAAAACCACAAAAGATATAGAAATCACTTTAACTATATTATCTGTATGATATCTGAGACAAAGAAAAAATGAGAAAGGAGTGAAGCAAATCAGACAAGAGTTGAGGAAACACCTGACTTGTCAGAAACCATCTAAACAATATAGTAACAAAGCCGTCTGTACTGAGATGCCTAAGGCCTTCTTTATCAGAGCATAAGCTAAAAGCAAATCACCCAGCAAGTGTCAAAAGCCTCAGGAGTGTGTACCATGGGGTCATCCTGCTCAAGGGTAAAGGGATGCAGCGGGTAGTGAAGACACTGTCTCGTGTCTGCTTGCTAGCCCAGTGGATCCCAGCCCATGCTGGATGAGAGGGAGGCGCCTTTTGTGCTCTATCTGGCCAGCTCAACCTCCTCTTCTCCTCGCATCCCCTCTTCCCAGAAGCTTTCCTCAACCTCTGCGCCTCACACAGCTACCCTCATTTGCCATAACTCTCAGAAACTGAACAGCCGTGTTTAAGAAGACAAAATCAATTGCTAAAAGGATACATGTAGAGAAGTAAGTACAGTGCGAAGTGCTTTTAAAAGAACACCATAAACATTAGAGCACTATTTTAAAAGTTCTTACATTCCTGGCCAGCTGCCCACCTCAGATAAGTACGCCCTGTCCTGCCATGGCAGAGAGAACACCCCCGGAATGCTAGCAGCAAAACACACAATACTCTCCTCGGAGAACAGGCACTGAAGTGAGCACAATTCTGGCCACTCGGGTTGGCAATATTAATAGCAAAAACTACTCACTTTAAAACACTGTCCTGAAGAAGACAAATTAGCCTTTCCAAGTACAAGGCACACCCACCCACAGACCTGGCCACAGGCACAGAGGGCAACACTCCGACTTGCTAGACCGGCCTTCTTTCCACTTCACTCCCCGACAATTCGTTTCTGTAGCTACAGAACTGCACACTAGTTGGGAGATAGACAAACATATTCCTCCTTCTTTTCCAAAATCAATGACTTTAACTCGAAGAGGAAACCAGTGCTTCGTTTCCATCTTTCCTTACCTGGTCAACTCTGATTCACCTGTCAGCTCAGGAATAGTGTCTTCAAAAATGCCTTCCCTGAATTCCCTGACCTCTCTATTACTACACGGCAGGCTGAAGTTACACGCTCTTGGCAATTCCCCCTGATGGACAGCTAACTACTCAAGAGTAAGAACAATGCCTTTGCCTTCACGGCATTTGGCACAGTGCTAGGCATGCAGTAGGAAGTACTTCTTGGAATATGAGTACACACACACTATATACACACACACACACAATTTAGCACACAGATTGGGCACGTGAATATACATATACCTATTGGCTGAAAGCGGACGTGGAAGAAAATGTTCCCTGATTGTTGAGCTTCCAGAAGACTTTACTCCTTAAAGCCCCAAATCCTATTTTAACATTTATTTAGAAAATGGAAAGCTTATAAAAAATATATTTGGCATTGGTCTTTGCTTTCTAAAACACAGATTGTATACATTTTTTTAACATTTTGATTGCTCGGTATTAATTACGAATTTCTAATTATTCTGCTGCCCCACCATTTAATTTAGGACTTCAATGCTTTTAAAGATTAAGTGACCACTAAGATTTTGGTAAATTCTTGCAACCAATTTTAGAACATTTCGACTGCTATTTTACAGCTATCATTTTGCATTCTTTTTTTAATATATGGCTTTTAATCTGCTGCTGCTGGTTTCTAACAATTTGAAGTAAAAACAAGAGTTTTTAAAAGTTTTCAGAATACAATGGCATCCAACTGCGTAAAGACCGTCCTTATTTTCTTGTTACTGTGTAGGGGAGCTATGAGCTTGTTAAACTATACAAGGGCTCTGCTCGGCATCTCTGTCCCCCGAACTCCAGCTCAAATACCGCTTCTCTAAATCTGTCCTAAGAAGCACACGCTTAGCTGTCCCCCACCCAGTGCAGGCTGCCACTCTATACCTTTGTTGTTACACTTAGTATAATGATTTTAATTCCCTTTTTACCAGTTATTCTCCAGAACCACACTGGACACCTGAGGAAGGTATCTTTTCTTATTCAAAAGTTTAAGACTGGTGTCTAGTAAACCATCAAAGATTTTTTTTAGTAAGTATTCAAAGTTATTTAAAGAAACAAAGGTAGCCATAACGATCCCATACAATTTACGTGGTTAAAAAAAAAGTGATCACATACTGTCAAGATCAGACAGGTATACCCCAAATAACATCAACATAAGGTAAATGCAAATTTTTTAACTTTTATTAACTTCATTATTATAACTCATTGATAACTCAGGAAGTAGTGTCTTAAAGATCTTTTAACATTAATAGAAAAGTATCAGGAATTCTCATCAAGGGAAAAAAAGGGAAGAAGAAAAACCTATAAATTAAAAGAGACTTAGAAACTTGTCAATCAAATGCATCTTGCTGGACCTAGATTCAAACAAACTAACTGTTTTGGGGGGAAAAGGGAGAAGAATTGACAAAATGTGAATGAGTATCATAAAAATTTAAATCTGACCTAATTCTTCGTAATATTAAGAAATCGGTGTTGTTTTTAGGTATGACATGGATATTGTGGTTCAAAAGAGTTATCTTTCAGAGCTTAAAAACTAAGGTATTTATGGAAAATACTGGGCTTTCTTTCAAAATAATAGTGGGCGGGGGAGTAACGGGTATACAGGAAGCAAGGCTGGTTGTGTGGCAGCGGTTACTGAAGCTGGGTGTTGAGTACATGTAGTTTAATTATATTTTTCTCTCTACTTTTGTATATGCTCAAAATTTTCCGAACTAAAAAGTTTAAAAAAAAAAAAAAAAAGGCATTACAATGTTCTATTAACTCTGATTGGTCACAGATGCCTCCCACTGATTTCTGGCTTTGGATCGTTTCCTGCTGTCTCACAAAAGGGTTGTAACATATCATCCCATTGCTCTCTGAGGTTCATGGCCTTATACTGACAACATTCTGTTCTTACTTCCACCCTGCACTGAAAACTCAGCCTTACCATTCCTGCCCTACCTAAGATAGAGACCCTATCAACCCCCATCATAGCTGAAGAGTAAATCAATAAGTCAGCTAACAATAGCGCTGGGAAGCATACTATCTGTATCAGACAGCCTCAATTCATTTCAAGGAAACTTAAATTGAAATAGAATATCACTGCCCGATAATACATATGTTTCTTTATTATACTTCTCCTTTCTAGAATGTAACCTCCCTGAGGGCAGTGTCTTTGCTTTGTTTGCCTCTGAGCTCAGATTCTAAACAGAACTGCAACACAAAGGGTTATCAAATACATACATGCTGAATGCTCGAGATCCCAGGGAAGCATAAGTAAATATCAGAGGGTTGAGAACAAAAAAAGTTGATACTATTACCATAAGCTAAGAACATGTGCTTTCACCACCACCCGCACCCACCCATTTCACGTAGCATGGTGCTGTCATGGCACTGTTTTTATCCACTATCATATCTAGACTTTCCTAAACAGCTGAAAAATCAGACTACAGGTTCACATATTGGTTAAATATGTCAGTTTGTGCCAGGAAAAACACAGTACCTCACACATGTCCTCTATAGTATTTGCAATATATACAGACTACCTCAGAATTTAGAGTACAGTACAAATTATATTTGGGCTTTTCGGGGCCTTATGTCCCTGTCGCTTTTAAATGAAAATCAGCGCTCCCTCCCACTTCTTTCCCAACTCCAACTCAACCGGAAAGAAATCCCCACCAGCCACCACCCGGGAGATCATAGTAACATCTAGAAAGCTGGCCAGAATGGCAGGAGATTCAGAGTGCCTGGTGCTGTCATATATGAGCTCTACCTCTCAGCCGCCACGTGATCTTGGGCAAGGTACGGTGCCTTAGTTTCCTCATCTGCAAAACAGGGGCTAATAACAGAGCCTAGCTCATAGAGTTGATGTGAGAATTAAAAGAATTACTATTGGGTAAACGGCTTAGACCTGGCACAAAGGTTAACTATCTTAGCTATCATGTTTAGTATTATTACACTTATACTTTAACATGATCCTAGATGACAATCATTCTCAAAAACAGAAAATAAAATAATCGGTCCTCTTTTTAGAGCCTGAAAAACACTGGTGAGAAAAGACAGTGTGTCATAATCCAGTGCCAAGTCTACTAGAAATCTTTGCTGAATGAATGAACATGAGTCAACAAGAGGGAAATGGAAGCTTTTAAGGAAGGTGTATTATTCAATACCCTCAAAATTCACTGCTGAGATTCTGTTAAATAAGATCATACACTCAATGCGCCGAGCGCAGCAGCACACACATGGAGAGCACCCAATGAAGAATAGCCACTATCATCACTGTTGGAATCATGAATCTCAATGCAAAGTGGGATTTCAAAGACTTCCTAGCCTAACTTCTCTCCCTCTCACATGGCCTAGAAATCTACAGATTTAACATCACCTTGCTGTTCCTGTACCTCTACATAAGCTTTCCTGCTTTTATCTTCTTGATAAACTAAGGTTCTGCACGAGACTCAATTTTTAGTGCTCCACTATTAATGAAAATCTAGAGTGCTCTAACCCACTATTTTACAGATAAAGAAACAAGGCTTTGGTCTAGAGGTCCATCAACGTGTCTAAACTCTCACCATGGTCAGCCCCACCGATGAACGAGAAATCCGGGCTCCTGAAACCTCATCCTAGTTAGTAATGAGCTACTTCCGCCATGGGTAAATGCATCTAAAACTTCTACCAGAACCAGCTTCGAAACCCAAATGTCCCCTGCTTAAAGCTGAACTTATTAATTTACATCCCAGAACTCACCATAATTTCTCTCTGTTCTTCCAGATTCTTCAAAAAATTAGAAAATTCACGTAAGGAAGCATCTGTCAAGAGAAAGGAATAATTATTTGGTGGCCAAAGCAAAAGAGAGCAAACCAAAACCTTATCTTCACGTACCTATACAGCGTTCATCGTCGGTCTCTGCATCACCGATAAACTCAAATTTAAAGTCTCTGAGAGAATGAGCAAACTTCCGTTGGGCCACTGAAAGACCTAGAAAGAAAGATTTAATGATAACTTGGGTCCTTGTTTTAAGTCAAGGCTTAGAAGACATTTATTCCTCCTCAGGTCGGCACAGCTGTAGAGCTCTCCTCTCAACCTGTGAGGAGGCGCAACCCAACTCCTCTGCCAAGAGGCCCACCGCCCACAACCTGGCACACTCTCTGCGCTGCTTCTGCCTTCTGCTCTGCACTCTGGCACAGAGCAGGTGCTGGGGAAATGTTTATTCCTCCCTCAGAGATCTGACTGCTGTGCCTCGTTCCCTAAAGCACTTTCCCCTTCTGTGCTCACTCAGGCCAGAACTTCAAAATTTCAGGCTTTGATTAGGAACACGCACCCAATAGTATCTCCCAGGGCTCCAGGAGATCTTTCTGGCTGATAAAGTTCAGCGTCAGGCAACCAGATGCCCTTAACTGATTGTCAAACTCCAGGGAGAGAATCGAGAGATTTAAAAAGAGTTTTCACAGAAAAGAGTAGCAGGAAGGTAACTAAAGAAAAAATTCATTCTGCAAAAAACCAATATAAGTCCTCATTCTTTTTTTTTACTGGAGATTAATAAAAAGTAGTGGGAAAATCCACTTCTAAAAGAAGCTAACATTTATTTCCTGGGCCTCGCACCACGCTAAGTGATATGTATTTTTTATCTCATTCAATACTCTTGAGAGAGATATAAAATAAAAATGATCTCCATTCTACAACAGAGTTAAAGCTCAGAGATGTTAAATAGTTTGCACGAAGCTGCATGGCTGCTACAACAGCAAAGGTTTGATTCCACTCCAGAGACAGCTGTCCACAGCCCAGGCCCTTGCCAAGGCACAATCCTGCCTCCTGTACTCAACACGGCTGCGGTCTCAGCGCAGTGAGTACTGACAGACCGTGTTCAAATAAAACTCCACATCAAGCAAAGTAAAAAGTAAAAAAGAAACAAATGCAATCCACAACTGCTGATCAGAATACTGGCATGCAAAAATAAATAAATAAATATGTACAAGAAAGTGCAGCAAACCATGTAAAAAATGGAGGGCTGTTTTTAACAAGATAGTAGGAGCAATGCACTTCTTAATTTTCTTCATTGTATTATAGCTAACAAACAAAAAATGAAAGCAATAGATTATTTTTACATTAGAAAATGCTACTTGATACATTTTTACCCAACTCTCAACTCTTTACCCCAAATCTTCCATACAATGGCTCCCTGCTGCTCCCCTGAATAAGCATGGCCACAGCTCGGCATCTCTCCTATCTACTGGAGCTTCATTGAACAGCTCCTCCAGTAATAGGTAGAGACTACTGTCCTACCCCTTGAATCTGGGGTGGATTTGTGGCCAACAGAATGTAGTGAAAATGACACTGTGTTAATTTGGACCCCCTGCCTTAAGAAGCTCTGCAGGTGAACAAGCCCAGGCTAACCTGCTGGTTGATGAAACCTGTGGCTCTATCACCCCATTCTTGCCCCATCCGTCAAACAGCCAGTAACAGAAAGCGAGCTTCCCTGCACAAGCAGAAGGCAGTCCCAGTGAGACCTCACTGCCCTGCCCCGTGAGCCCCAACTGAAATAAGAGGCTACTATTTAAGCCACTAGGTTTTAAGGTGATTTGTCGTAAAGCAGTAGGTAATTAATATGGAAAGATTAATAAAATTTGACTGTGATAAAATCCTAAACTTCTAAAGATATAAAAAGAGAGAATATAAGCACACACCCAGGAGGTATAAATAACTGCTATAAATCAATGAGTTAAGGCAGAATCCCAAGAAAAAAACTAGGAGAAACACTTGAATAGGCTCTTCAGAAAAACAAGTGAAAAAAATCCAAATGGCCTATGACTACATGAAAAAGTTCTCAAATTCATTAGTGATAAAACAAAAGTGAAAATTAAGCCTCAAGATATCTCAACAGATTCATTGGATTGGCAAAAATTACTAAACCTGGCAATCCCAAATGTTGGTCTAACCCTGTATACACAAAAACAGAGATCCTCATATAATGCTAGTGAAAATAAAAATTGGTTAAAATTACTCTTTAAGCAGTTTGGCATTTTCTAGTAAATTTGGTGATATGTGATATCCTACAACCCAGAAATCGTTCTCCTAGGTAAATTTGCAAGATAAACTCTTGTACATGCGCACTTATAGACCAGAAAAATCCACAGAACTGGTCACAGTAATAGTCAAACACTTGACAAAAATATCAGTCAACAGTAGAACAAATGACTAAATTGTAGTCTATTCATACACTATAGAGTAAAAACTAACTACAAATTCACACATCAACACAGATGAATCTCAATCTGGAGAAAAAGAAGCAAAATACAAAAGAATACACACAGTATGGTTCCTTTACATAAAGTTCAAAACAAGCTACACTAGACTATATGTTCGGGTTGTGTATACAGGTCACGAATCACAGAACAGCAAGTGGATCATTATCTCAAAAGTCACACAACATTTACCACTGGGCCAGGGAGGGTGATGCAGTCAGAAAGCTACGAGGGGGTTAGAAATAGCTTAGTGCGTGACCTAGTGGTGGGTGTGGATGTCTGCTTTATCATTCTTCTTTAAAATGTATGTTTTGTATACTTCTATATTTTTGCCGTAATTTCACAATTACAACATAAAATTGTTAAAAACATGAAAAAATTAAAGCCTACATATTTAGGCCATTCGAAAATATTTTCGTTTCCGTTGTAATCTGGGGCAAACACACAATTACTAAGATCTAGCCACACTGGCCTGCTCCTAGTTCACATGACGGACTCATCCTGGTCTCAGATCCCTTAAACTTGCTGCTCCCTCCATCTGAAATGCTCCTCCCCATCCCGATCTGCATTTGGCTGGCTCCTTCTCAACCTTGATGGCACAGCTCAGAAATCCCCCTCCTCACACCATCCTCCTGCCCTCAATGATACCACCACCCCTGAGGCCCTAACATCGCCCCTCTGACTTGAGTCTCTCTTTATTCTGTTGTCGTTTTATTTTCTTCATTGCTCTTATGACCTAACATACCTCATGTAGCCAATAGTTACTCATTGTTATCCATTTTCCCCACCCTATAATAGCAAGTCCCTAAGGCAGTAACTACAGTTTTCTGTTTCCCTATATCCCTGAAATTGGCATCGCAACAGGATTCTTTTTTAACTTATGTCATGTACCTATTTGCAAATATTAAATTTGTGGGCTTATCATTTTTAATAACTTTGTCTTATTCTATTTTGCTGTTTACTTTGCTAGTTCTCAACAGGGGCATGAAACTGGTTCCATTTATGTGTATCAATGTACAAATATGTGTATGTGTGTTGATGTTTACTTATATAGCATACACATTTATCTACACATATATATACGTGTGTGTGTGTGTGTGTGTGTGTGTGTGTGTGTGTGTGTGTGTATAACTAGTAATGTATATTATCATCAATGCTGGTAAAAATTGTATTTTCCCACTCTGGAGCTGTGTCTTTAAGTATTTTATCCAAATTAACTAAATCAGAGGAAGCTTTAAAAACTATTTCATGTGATCAGGATAGAATGCTCTCTAGAAAGTTAAAATTTAAATGCATCAGTTTTCCAACATTTCATAATTCCTAATTTCATTGGTTGAAAACGTCTATAATAGTTGATTAAATTTGGGTTAATTTGCACAGCTAATATATCTGTCCTAGGTAAATAGCATGATTCTGTCTTACCTCTATACTAAGTATTATAGTCACATCAATTCTTTATTTATAATTTTCCATTTTCCATCACTCATTTTTCTTTTTCAATGACTTCTTTCTGGTGTTATTAGGGAGCATTATGCAAAATTTTTATTGTTTAAAAATTTGACTATACTGAACTACTTTCCTGTTAACAATTGCAAATTTATCACCTTTTTATTACTTAGTATAAATTTATTTCTTCTCCCATGTAGTTTATACTTTATAGATATCTTCTGCCTTTCTACACATAATATAAAATCATAAGACAGCTTACTACATTTAGTACAGCCTATTAAATAAGCACAAAGATGCTTTGTGCAAAAGATAATGTTCTTTCTTTCCAATATCATTGTATGTGAAACTCAAGGAGTCTGAATTTACTAGTAACAGAGGCCGGCAACATTCATTCCTTTCCTGGGGGGAGACAGTGTGGGGCCCACCACCTTTGAGGTGGCACTACCTATACTGAGTGTGTACTCTATGCTAATTGACTTACCAAATATTATGTCATTTACTCTTTATAATCAGCCTACAGGGTAGGTGTTGGTGTTACCTTATCTTAAGTAGGTTCAGAAATAAATTAGTAACCTGATCAAGGTCACAGAACTCTTCAAGCTGCTGGTAGTAGTTCTGGAAGCAAAGGACCAATTCATTTTCTATTACACCATTCCAACTTTAAAGAGATTTAACATTATTCCCATTATGCCTGGGTCCTTTGACCAGATCTCAACCAGTTATCTAAATGGCCCAAATGCAGAATTCCAACCAAATGGGAAATTCATACACCTGTGCCTCCATGCCTAATTCCTGAGTACTGTCAATTAACACTACTCTCTTGAAAGACCTTCAAGGCTGGCAGGACTCCAGCTGATGGACAAGGTCAAGCTTGAGGGTGCATAAAAAGCACAGTTAACTTTAAAGAATTAATGTGATTTGATTTGAACTCTTCAAATGAACTTGCCACTTCAGAGTCTCCCAGACTGGAATTTTTAGGTCCTCGATCCGTAGTCAAATGGGAAAGAAAACAGAAGCAATGTCTTTGCAGGGTTAAGATCAGTTAGAGAGCTGAGAAGTTACATTTGAGAATTGCTGTGTTTGAGATGGAGGACATCGCACGTAGAGACCTGGGCTTAGTTGCAATCTAGGCTCCAGAGCCCCTAGACACTGGCCCCAACTGCCACCACTCGCCCTTGATGATTTTACAAATGGAAAAATCCTTTCTTGTAGCCACCTAGTAAGTTTTCCATTAAGATCGTAAACGATTAGACATATAGAGGTACTGGCAGGGGTGGGAGCGGGTGA